AGCTGTCGCGTGTTGACTTTTTGAGGATGACTTATTTGCTATAAGCCCAGTTTGCTCAGAATTAGTTCATGGCGGGAAAGTGTAAAAACGTGAATACTAAACGAAGATTTTGCGTGCACACGTTTCTTTACTTCAAATCGTCTGGGCCCCGCTCAGACGATTTGGCGTCGCGAAGACAAATAGGGCGATTCTGGACTTCCATAAAGTTTTGTATTGACAGTTTCCTTTTTTTTTTATAAACATTAGTTTTTTCCTCAGTAAATATTTGCTCAGATATTTTTCTTTTCTTTCATTCATTCTTTCTTTCTTTTAATATTTATTTAATTTCTTCCTGAATACTTTCTTAGTTTCTTTCTTTCATTCCTTCATTGATTATTTTATCTTTTTATTATACATTTCTTTCTTTCATTCATTTTTGTTGCGATTACTATTTCTTCATATAATTTTTTCTTTTTTCTTCATTCATTTATTCATTCATTTCTTTCTTTTTTCTTTCTTTCTTTCTTGTTTTTTTTACTTTATTTTTTCTTTTCTTGTTAGATTTTACTTTTTTTTATACAGATACTGGATCCAACCAACTCTTTGATACATATTAATAACACCTTGAGTATATATTTAACAGAAAACTATAATAATATTATAAGATTTATTGCCATAATTAATTATGGTCTCCATTTCTATGGATAATTTCAAGAGCCCTGTTAGTCTAACATGGATAAAAGCGTTCGTTGGATCCAGTAACTTTGACCCAAACAGTAGTGAGTTCAATACCTGGCTGCTGGAATGGTGACACGCGGAAGAGGTATGGCACGTGAAACTAGAACAATATAACCTGGTTCAGTTCGAAATTCCAATCACCAGAAGAACGGCTGAAACATCGGGAATATTGCAATAATGATTAGGACATCAGTGCGAAGAATGTAAATAATATAAATAATTACAATAATAAATAATTAACAATACTTCATCTCAGAAATATAGACAGACATTATTTATTAGCATCTTACTATTTACAAATCATGTTTTAATGCAGTATAGTCAAGTAGCGAGAAAGAGAATTTTTCCAGCAATCTTTTTAATGTGTAATAATTCTCCTGCGTGGAAATCATTATTCAAGATCCCTAGGCTGAAATGCGACCTACTGGCGTCGGTTGGAAGCACGCAATCGAGTCCAGTTTTCGTGACATTTGAAACATTGGTAAGAATCTCCAGGAAAATTGTTTTGATTGAGATATTTAAAAAATTCCAGAATTTCTCGCATCTAAACATAATTAGAGAAAACATATTTTTTAGATTTATCAGAAGCTAATTCTGAAAACATGCTGTCATAAACTTGCACTATATAAACATGGCATTTATCTGTATGTATTTGTAAAACTCAGCATATATGGGTAGCAATTATCCTTTTAAGCAAATTTTATTAAAACAAATCAGACGCTTTATGCTGCTTATATTTTTCCTTATAATAAGGATTAAAAAATGCGGCTGTTATTTATGTATAAAATAGATAATCTTTCTGTTAATGTATGTCTATCTTTGTGAGATGAGGTATTAAAGTTTTCTCAAAAAAGAAAAAAATAATAAATAAATAAAATAAAAAAAATAAAGAGAAAGAATGTCGTATTCATTTACACACGAATAATTATCCTTACAATTCAAAATAGATTTCGGATTTAAATAGCGAGCATAAATATAGGTACTGACCAGGCTCGAGGTTGCTTAACTTCGGGGATCGCACGGGAAACGTTATTGATATGTTAGTATACAGTTGATCCTACTCTTGAAGAGGTTAATATCGTAATGACCAGTAAAGAATCCTCTCGGGAATTTGTTACACGAAGTAGCGATTCTCGGGAAGAAGCGGTCTGAGGGGAATTTCTTTCTTACCAATAGAATACGAAGGGAATGTGGATGTGTTGATCCTATGGAGATGGCATGGCAGATCCTAGCTGTGAATATATGTATTTATGGAACGAAGTAATGTAGCTTGGCTGAACATTTGCCACGAAAATAGCGACAGAGTAGACGTTGCATCTGTGTGAATGGGGTAGTAAAATGGAAATTAATTAATCACTCACAAAGCCGCGTAAAAGCTTTTGAATTATTTAAGTCTAATCTGTATTATACATACTGTACGATTATCTATACACTAAAGTTAACATTAAGCCCTCTTCCTCAATTACTAAGGACTGTATTTAACCAGTCAGGTAAAAGCTTTTGAACTCTGTCATGGCTGGAATGTTTAAATTATTTAAGTCTAAGCTGTAGACTAATGCATTATACATATTGTACGATTATTTATACTCTTAAGTTAACATTAAGCCCTCTTCCTCAATTACTAAGGACTGTATTTAACCAGTCAGGTAAAAGCTTTTGAACTCTGTCATGGCTGGAATGTTTAAATTATTTAAGTCTAATCTGTAGACTATGCATTATACATACTGTACGATTATTCATACTCTTAAGTTAACATTAAGCCCTCTTCCTCAATTACTAAGGACTATTTAACCAGTCAGGTAAAATCATTTGAACTCTGTGAAGGCTGGAATGTGAGGATTACTTTTTGGGGGGCGGAGATAGTAATGATTTAGTGATAGAAGTCAAATAATTAACCCTTATCTTAGAGGAGAAGACATGTATTCATATCTTTCCCAAGGTTATTTGCGCCTAAGTGAATATAACGGGAATTGAACTCAGCTCTCTGATTAAAAATTCAGAGCCATCATCTATTACACCACCCGCACATCAAATCTTGCAGCACATGCTATTCCCAAGCTGTTCCCTATCTAGGTAATGACTGGTGAAGAATTTGCTATGCATAGAATGAAAGGATTTCACAATGACACTCATCCCTTCTGTTTGAAGCTGTTCCCTATCTAGGTAATGACCAGGATAGACATAGCTTAAATTCGGCGATCGTATGGATAACAATGTTAATATGTTAGAATACGGTTGATCCTACGCTTGAAGAGGTTAAGATCGTGGTGATCGGAGAAGTATCCTCTCAAAGCCTGTCCGATTGTCAGAAGACGTGATCTGTGGGGAACTTCTTTCTTACCTATGGAATACGAATGGAACGCGGATGAATTTAATCCTGTAGACATGGCAAGGCGAGTCCTAGCTGCGGATATATGTATTTGTGAAGCGAGCAAATGTAGTTTGGCTCAACATTTGCCATGAAAATTGCGATGGAATAGCGATAGCTTTTCGCCTGTGCAAATGGTGTTTTATCGTGGAAATCAATCCATGTGAGTTTTATGCATGTGTTTGCGTGTATGTGTGTGTGTGCGGCTTGGATATACATAGGTTTACATTGTGGTTAAACATGTGGATATGTACATTCTGATTTTTATGGGAATTATGTGTGTTTGCATTAATTTGGCTGTGCAGAGGTGTAATGTTTAGCGGCTAGAAAGTAACAATCGTTGAACCGGTTTCGAACACAGCTCGACTTTTTTACATTACAAAAATAGCTCTGAGGAAGGTTTGACTCCATGTCTTCTACACCCACAACCAATTAGGTATTAAAAAGACGAGCCGACTGGCTTTCTTTAGCTGTAGATGGCGGTCAGTCTAAGAGGAGAAAAAAAAATGGATCCAAAATCGTATATAATCCTGGTGAAGGATTTGCTATACATGGAATGAAAGGATTTCACAATGACACGCATCCCTTCTTTCGATGTGATAGACAGATATTCAGTATATTTTTTCATTAATTGAGCTGTTTTTTTTTTACAGTTTATCAAGTGTTTTCCGGTTATTCAAAGAAAGAAAATATATAATTAGATTTCTTGGTAGATAATAATGATTTACTGATACAAGTTCTATTAATTAACCTATAGTTGAAGGGAGAGAAGAATTGAATTCATACTTTGTAAAAGCGTATTTGCGCGTGAGTTAATAGAACCACCCCGATTGGAATTGGATAGCCGAGTTCCAATTTGAAACCATTATCCATTACACCAACCGCATATCTAAGCTTAAAGCACCTGGTATTATCATGCGGTCACCCATGTACTGAACCAGTATTGACGTTGCTTAACTTCGCTGATCGCACGTGAACTGGTGTTTCGAAGTGATATGGCCGTAAGTTCATAATGAGACGGGTTTGTACATGGATATGCATATATACTGCGATCATGTTGGCTGCAGATATTTCTATAGAAACTCCCTCTTGTTAGGAAAGGAGAAGCGTTAACTTTGCAGATGATATTGACTTGCATATATTACAGATATTATCGTCTGCCTGGATTAGAAAAATGAGATTTATTGCAAAGAAGGCATGTTATTACTATCTTAGACAACATACCGACTTGATGATAGTTATTATTTGGAGATAATTATTCAAATGAAGAAAAAAATGAATATAATTTTCTGTTCAAATATCGTTAAAATCGGCTGCAAGAAAACTCCGAGGGGATCGAAACTATCTCATTCTCAATTCAATATTTATTCTTACGTACGTAATAGGGGACTGGGCGTTTATTTTTTTCTTTGGAGTATGTGTTTCTGCGTCCTCAGAGCTTCTTTTTTACCCTCTGTTCATTAATTTTGCTCTTTTTGACATTTTATTGCCTATTGTGAAAAATTCAAACTAACCAATTATTAATAACTTCCTTGTATTACTTATCTACTTAGCTTAGTCTGGCACAAGGCTATAAGGTTTCCGCTCTCTAACTAACTCACATTACAGAAGGCTATAAGAACTGAGACCCGTTTCATTTTGAAAAAAAAAAGCCGTTAGATTTGAGCCTCTTTCTCAAGAGAAAACTCGCTACATTATTGAATAAACGATATTTACTAAGTTTTGCTTTGTCTGGCCATAAAATTTAAGTACTAACTGAGGACTGAACTCAGTACATTATCGAATTAATATTTACTAAGATTAGCTTAATCTGGCACAGTGTAGGGCACTCCGTAAGACTCGAACTCATTACAATATTTACAGGTCATTTTTAGTATTTACCGTCTTACCCTCGCTCTGATTCAGACAGACTTAGGGCCACATCTCATTGAAACACAGGTTCTCGTATGATCATCGAAGTTAAGCAAACTTGAGCTCGGTCAGTAGCTAGATGACTGACCGTTTGGGACTACCAGGAGCTGTAAACTTGGATGTTTGGGTGTTGTAATGAAATTGCTAATTAGAGAGCTGGTTCAAATTCCCGTTGGGTTCGATATATTTACTTAGGCAATAAAAATAACCCTGTGTAAGAAATAAAACTGCCCTTTCTCCACCAGCTATAGGTTAATTAGTAATAGTTATATTACTAAAACATTATTATCTCCACAAATAAATTCTTACAATCTAAAAACATTTTCTGGCTTTAAATAACTTGCAAATGGTCGATAACCTGTCGAATACGAACCAATTAATCTTTTTGACTCAGGCTTCTATTTGTTAGCGAGTAGCCAGTGTTTTAAAATGCAGATATTAGTTGAAACCAATCTTCTGTTTGATCTCTGAGAGATTAATTTATTATCAAAAAATTGTAAATCAATACTTTTATTTCGAATCGAATATAGGTTCATTTTTCTGACAACTCTTAAACTTATAATGGTTACTCTTCAACAATTAAAAATCAATTTTTGCCTCCGAGAAATGAGCAAAAATTTCACAGATCGAAATGGTAAGATTCATTTATGTTTTACAATAAAATTAATTTCATATTCAGATTTTTTTTTTTAATACAACGTCTTCCAAAGAAAAGAAATCAAGTATCGAAAGGAATTACGGGTATTGGTGTGATATGTCACGTATTGAAGTGGTGTATCAATTTGAAAAAAAAAAAAGAAAAGTTTCCATTTGGTCCACTCATGAATACCGATCAGAAACAAACGTTGCTCGCTGGCAAATGTCTTCCGGCGCCGGAAAGACATCGGAACGATGGCTTTTGTCTTGTGAGAGCAAATATTGAGATATTGACTCCGGATACTGCATCAGTCCTTGTCCATGTCGAGTACTACTGAGAAGCTCTTATGACAGGGATATTAAAAGAGAGAAGAAAGAAGTAGGTGAATACTTCGAATGAGAAAACGAAAAGAAAAATCCCCATGATGCAAAAACAAACAAAGAGGAAAACTGACGTCAAGAAGGACGAAGATACAATCGTAGTTGGAGGGAGCGATACATTTGGACAATAAAGAACAAGACAATAGAAAGTTGGTTTAGGTAGCATTTGTGATTCCTTTTGATACTGACAACGATTTCCAGTATAGATTATCCGCTCGATATATATATATATATATATATATATATATATATATATATATATATATATATTATATAAAATGCATACGTGTGTCTGTGAAGTTGTATTTTTGCCTTTGCTCATGAATATGTATGGACAGTGTTTCGTGGGAAGAATGCTTCAGCAATACCGAAGAAAAAACAAGCATATATTTGGCATTTGAAAAAGGAGAAAGAAACAAGTGAATTTTGTTGATATTTGTATATTCATATACTTCTTTGTTTGAATAAATGAATAGATGCTTTTTTAATCAGATCCATAGAATTATGTGCTATGCCACAAAATATTTGGCTCACTAAATAAGCCACATGTCTCCAAATAATTTTGAAAAGAAATACATTACATTTTTGGATTGCATTCGGACTAATTTCAGGACGAGTAAATGCTTATTTGGTTGCTAATTACTCTTTCGTTGTTTTTAGTGTATATTTTAGACAAAGATAGAAATACATTTTGGGACGAGATAAATATACACTGTATATATTGTCCCAACTCAAACGTTCGCACTTTGTCTAATGTAAAAATAAGGTAAACATTTTTAAATATTAACTTTATTGGACAGCAAATTTAGTAAGCTGTACCATTGTTTTCTTCTACCTTCCTTCATGGCAACTTCATAATTGCACTCGCCTACACCCCAATGTGTATATATATATATATATATATATATATACACATACAGTGCTGTTCGATAAAAGTGACTCACCTGATTTTTTTTTACTAAATGTTCTCTTCTCCGATGAAACGAAAGTTGAGATAAATTCAAAGGATAAGCGATCTAAAATCAGAATCTTGTTTGCTCCCTTCTGCTGAAAGGGTGCAAATCGACCCCACCAAGCTCATTTTTATGCAGGATAATACTCTCTGTCACAAATCAAAATTGATAAGGAATACTTTGATGAGAAGCAGGTGAGTGTTATGACATGACCGCCCCAATCTCCTGACCTCAACCCCATAGAAAAGTTATGGAGCATTATAAAGTACAGGTCTCGAGAAAGTAGTTGTGCAACAAAGAGGATTTGATTGTGAATTTCATATCCGAATTTAATGCTTGGCGATGAGATTTGCCAGAACCTAATCAAGTCAATGCCAAAAAGATTTGAAAAGGTTATTCAAAATAAAGGAGGACCCATAGATTATTAAATATTTCGAACTATATTGCCTAATATAAATAAATTATACCTCTATTACTCTTTATTTAAAACTGTTCGGTTATGTTTCTATTGATTACTAGTTGCAGGAAATAAGTGAGTCTTTTTTTTTGCACAGAGTTTTCCCTAAATCTCATTTATATCGAAAATTATAAAAATTTATAATTATCAATAGAATACCTTAGGGAGAGTAAACTTTTTTACTAGGTGTTCAGTAAAGGGGTCTTTATATTAGAAGGATTAAAAATTAGTTTGACCCCCAAAACAATAGGCGAAAAAACTTTAAGTAAAAAAAATCAGGTGAGTCACTTTTATCGAACAGCACTGTATATATATATATATATATATATATATATATATATATATATATATATAAATGCATGTTTCATGAAATGATATAGATAAGTTTTGTCTATTTATCTTAAGCAAATTCCTTTCATATTGTCTAATAAGGTTAATAACATTATCATTGAAAGACGAAAGAAAATCACCATATTGATACATGTTTTTAATCTTATCTAAGCTTTTGGCTTACTTCGGCCATCATCAGAGAAATCTTACATAGTATTAAAAAAAAAAACATGTATCAATATGGTGAGCTCTCTGGGGCAGAGGTACTTCAAAAATTTCATACAGAACCATCACAATCTCCTCCTCTCGCATGCTCTGTTTGTCCGAGCACCTTTTTCATACTTCATTTTTTGTGCACCCTTTCATCATGTATAATAACGTTCCGATATGTCTTTCGACTACCCGATCTTCCCGGCATTCTTTTCCATTTTTGTAAGTTCGAAAGAATAATTTTTGCCGGGTTTGAAGTATTTCTGAATATCGGATTTTTTCTTGTTTTCGGCCTTTTTTTATTCGGGAGCATTTTGTCAAATTTTAAATTTGTGTGATTTTCCTTGCAAATATTAGTATTGCCGGTGTCATCGTTGATACCGTGCTAGAATTGGGTGTCAACCAATTTACACGTGAAAACTTTTGTAATAAAATATCCTTAGTTTCACCTCTACTGAGTATTTTCAATACCATTTTGAATTCATCAACGAAGCGTTCTGCTTACCGACTCGATCTTGAATTTTATGGAGCAGTTTTGATATGCTGTATCTTAAAGGTTTGACAAAATCTTTTAAATTTTTTAGCAGCGTATTGTGGGGCGTTGTCCAAAACAATGGTATCAGAATTACCGTATCAAGCAAATAATTCATGGAAGAAGTTTGTAATTGTAGAAGTTGGACTCTTGCATTTTAATTTTTTCTGAGCTGGCAGAGGGTAAAAGTTTGTAAGCAATCATTAAGCATCGGGTTATTTTTATTTCTTTTTTTTTTTTTCACGTCAACGGTCGGGGAAGCCCAATCACTACAATCCACTTTGAAGATCACTCACATATTTTACAAGCGATCTAATTCTTTGTTTATCGGATCCAAAGTCGAAAAAGGCACATTCCTCTTTGGTCTAAAAATTGGTACCACATAACTGGAACTTAGCGTTAGTTTTTGTGCGGGTTTCTAACTTTTCAGAAAAAAAAAAAACTTCGAGAAATTGATTTTTCAATTCTTTTTTTAGCCTTTCAGTGTTACTAGACGAGGCATCCAATTTATTACAAAAAGAATTTATTGGTAAATCGAATAAATAGAACAGATGCATCCAATTTGTGCAAATTTTGGTAATGTTAATATTGGTTTACTGATTCTTTCCCACATTTCTTTATAAATAATAGTCAAATCTGACCCTGTGTCTAACTGAAACTTTATATTTTTCTATCTATTTTTACGGCTATGAATTTTCTTTTTTGACTCTTGTCTGCATCGTCTATCATCGACGCTACGTTTACAGTGCTCGTGAATTTTGGCTTTTTATTCATTTTTAACTTTACAATGCAAACTCTTGTGTCTCATATTCCACAGTTGAAACATTCTTTATTCTTAAAAAGGCAGTTTCCCTTGAAATGTAGGTCCCTGCAACTGTAACATGTATTGGCCTTTGTAAACTATGTTGTTTTCGCATATACTTTGGGACGAACCGGATTTATGTAATATATATATCTTTTCTCAATTTTAGCCGTATCATGTCGTAAGTTCACTATTCTTTGACACTCTTCAGTTACAGTTTGCAAGATTAATTTTGTGTCCTGTTTAAGGTTATTCAACATTCTAGAATGGATTTATCTTTATTTGATATTAATCCTTGTACAAAGATCAAGCACTTAAGCATGTCAGGCGTTAGTTCGCTTAACTTTTCATATTTCCTATTTACGATACTAGCAGAAGTGGTATAATCTTCATATTCTTTTTTTTTTTACAAGATTCAGGCATTACAAACGGGTATTTAACAATTAACTTCGTTCACTGAAAACTTAACAATTCATTCAATTTTTTCGGCAGGATGTAATTCACGTACTTTAGTGTTCCGTAGCCTCTAACCTTCTTATTAACAGACCCATTTTTTTCCTCGTCCGACCAGCGTATAGTCTTTTAAAAAAATTCTCATAGCGTCTATAGTATGCTGCAAATGTCGTCTCTTCATATTATCTATATATTTAAATTAATACTTACTACTGAATCCTGTGATATAAAAAAGCAAACGTGTTTTCGTTACTTTTACTCTATAAACGTTGTAGTATATTTACTGTTCTTGTCTCAACAATATTTCCTGGGAATGTTGTTGCTGTCCTTGCTGTTTTTGTTGTCATTGTTCTTACTGT